TGTTGGGCTCTGGCGATCCTTCCATCTCAGCCTTCCAAGTGGCCGGAGCTACAGGCATGTGCCACCACGTCTGGCTAGTTTTTGATTTATTGCAGAGACGAAGTCTCACCAAATGGCCCGGGCTGGTCTCAAACCCGCGGACTCAGGCAATCCACTCACCTTGGCCTCCCAATTGCTGGGATTACAGGCTGAGACACCGAGTCTGGCCAAAGGTTTTTAAAAAATTTTTTATTTTTTGAGTCAGAGTCTTATTCTGTTTCCCAGGCTGGAGTGCAGAGACACACTCACAGTCACCGCAACCTCGACATGCTGGGCTCAGGTGATCCTTCCACCTCAGCCTTCCAAGTAGCTGGAACCACAGTCATGCACTACCACCATGCCCAGCTAATTTTTTTTATTTATTGTAGAGATGAGGTCTCGCCAAGTTGCCCGGGCTGGTCTCAGACCTCTGGGCTCAGGCAATCTTCTTCCTTCTGCCTCCCTAAGTGCCGGATTACAGGTGTGAGTCACAGCACCTGACTGGTAAAAGTTCTTAAAACCTTGGTTATATTGAAAAATTTTATGTCTTACAGGGGAAAATTAGCCTTAGAGGTGGAAAGGACAGTCTAAAGAGGGGTTTTGCCATATTTCCAGCAAATTCTCGGAAAAAAATTTGGCTGGGCACTGGTGGCTCATACCTGTAATCCCAGTACTTTGGGAGGCCGAGGTAGAAGAATCGTTTGAGCCTAGGAGTTTGAGACTGGCCTAGGCAACATAGCAAGACCTTGTCACTTCAGTTAAAAAAAAAGTCCAGGTTCAGTGGCTCAGTCTGTAATCCCAGCACTTTGGGAGACTGTGGCAAGAGGATTGCCTGAGCCTCGGGGTTCGAGACCAATGGGCAACTTGGTGAGACCGAATCTCTAAAATAAATCACAAAAACTAGCCTGGCGTGGTGGTGTGCATCTGTAGTTCCAGGTACTTGGAAGGCTGAGGCAGAAGCTTTGCCTGAGCCCAGCAGGTCGAGGCTGCGGTGGCCGTGAGTGTGCCACTGCACTCCAGCCTGGGCAACAAAGAATGAGACTCCAATACACACACACACACACACACACACACACACACACACACACAAATTAGTCAAGCATGGTGGCATGTATCTGTAGTCCCAGCTACTCAGGAGGCTGAGGCAGAAGGCTCGCCTAAGCACCAAAATTGAGGTTGCCTTGAGCCATGATTGTTTCACTGTACTCCAGTCTGAGAGAAAGAATGATACCCCAACTCAAAAAAAAAAAGATTCTCTTGGGCACATTATTGGACCAAGGTCAACATATATTAGGGTGAACTTAACTCATCCGGTTTGGTGAAATGCATCCTGCAACCTTGAGTGCAGGGAGCTTGTTTGCTCTGTTGTGTTTGGGGTTTTATTTTGAACAGCGCCGGGACAAGCGTTTCCAAAACTCAGGAAATTGAAAGGCCTTTTTAATGGGCACTGATTAAAATAAACTGACATGGCAACAGATTCTATTTGGCAAATAGACATCAGAAAGCAAACATTGAGACTTCCTGGGCAGGGCATGGTCCTGGCACTGTTCCTGAATGTGAACAATCGGGTGCATGTCAGATTCTGGAGGAGGAAGCCTTGTTCACTGTCGCTGGGAGAGGCAAGGCCATCTTGCCTTTGCTGCTATCGGGCTGAGCCCACAAAACCCAGGTGACTCACAAAAGGGAAAGGAGAGCGACTTACCTCCTGCTTTTTGGATGTATCCTTATTCGCATGGAAAAAGACTTTTTTAAAATCGTGGTTTGTAGCCGGGCACGATGGCTCACCCCTATAATCCCAGCACTTTGGGAGGCTGAGGTGAGAGGATTGCCTGAGCCCACAGGGTGAGTGCCCAGCCTAGGGGCTAAATTCTTAAAGTATATCTAGAGTTGTTCTGGTCCCTGGAGTTATTTTTGTTTGCTTTGTTGATATGGTTTTGGGTTTTTTTTTTTAAACATTAAAATAATTAAGAGATTTGATTCTCTTCTGGAAATAAAGCTCCCACTCTGGGAAAAATGAATTTTGACAGAAAGAGACTGTCCGCCGGGCTCGGTGTCTCAGCCTGTAATCCCGCGCCTTGGGCGGCAGAGGTGAGTGGATTGCCTGAGCCCGTGGGTTCGAGACCCGACTGGACAACTTGGCAAGCCCTCATCTCTACAATAAATCAAAAATCAGCCGGGCGTGGTAGCGCGCACCTGTAGTTCCAGGTACTCGGAAGGCTGAGGTGGAAGAATCGCCGGAGCCCAGCAGGTCGAGGCTGTGGTGACCGGGAGCGGCCACTGCACTCCAGTCTGGGCGACAGAGTGAGACTCAAACTCAAAAAAAAAAAAGAGAGACTGTCCATGAGACAATCGTCCCTGCCTTTAATTACATAACACAGGGAGGCAGGGGGTAGTGTGGGAGAGGGCCCAAAATACAGATTTCCAAAAACGAAGAGTAAAAGTACAGTTTCTCTGCTTCTCAGGAAAAATGACCCCTGCCCCCTCGCCATCCCACCAATCTCAGGAGAAAAGCTAATTAGAGGGAGCATGGCCAGGGCCAACTCTATGCAAAAGTGTGTGCCGCTGTGTGTTCATGAAATGGGTGACAGGGCAAGCTGTAACCGGACCCAAGGACGTGAGCAGCCCTACGTTTTGCAGAGCTGCTTTTCTGGCAGAGGCTTTTGAGGGGCCCCAGAAAGGGAGTGGAAGAAATGGGGCAAGTTCCTGTCCTCAGAGGGCAAGGCCTTTGCGTGAGTGTTTTGTTTTAATGAAGCAACCGGGAAGGTTACTTATCTTGGCCTGATACATGTGCCTTTCAGCATGACAGGAAAGAGGAGGCTTATTCCTAAACAGACCTGGCCCTCTGGGGCTTCCCACATGGGAGGGGGAGACCGCTTACAAGACGTTTAGGAAGGGGAGGCTCTGGCTTTTCAAAGAAAATGCGGTGTTTTTCACTGGAGAGCCCTGATCGCTTTTCCCTACCTAGAGCCATTTTCTGAGGGTTGCGCTGAGGCCAGTTTCGCTGAAGACTAACTCCAGGGCCTTGTGCGCTGTTAAATGCAAACCATGTGTGTGACTTGAGGTTTCCTCCCTCTCCAAAGCACTGCACGTTTGGCACAGAGAATGCCTTTTGCTGAAATGCAGAGGGGTGGGTAATAAGAAGTAGGGTGCTTCGAGCACTGGGAGAGCCTCATGCTGTGCCCCACAGGAACCTGTCTCTCTGTGTAAACAGTTAAACCCCTACCCCAAAAGGTTTTTCCGATAGCAGTCTCCCCCTGCCCCCATTTTTCAGGCCGTTTGTATGCTTGGCCCACAAGGCTCTCTCTACTGTAGCTAGAACAAAGTCTAGATTTCACCCCAGTTTTTAACAAGTGCGTTTAGAAAATGGCCCCCAGTCTGCCAAGGTTCTCTTTTCACAGTTTAAAAGTCTCATCCGCCGGGCGCGGTGGCTCATGCCTGTAATCCCAGTGCTTTGAGAGGCTGAGGCGAGAGGATTGTCTGAGCCCACAGGTTCGAGATCCGCCCGCGCAGCAAGGCAACACCGTGTCTCGACAATAAGTTAAAAAACTAGCCAGGCATGGCGGCCCATGTCTGTAGTTCCGAAACTTGAAAGGGTGAGGCAGAAGGATCACCTGAGCCCAGCAGGTTGAGGCTGCAGTGGCCATGAGCATGCCATTGCACTCCAACCTGGGCAAC